CTTTTATGGTGAAATGTGTTTGCTGGTCAGAAGCAACGTGGTGCAGGTTACCAAGGCAGGAAATAGACTCTGAGAGTTCTGTTAGTCCACAGAGTGGACGTGACAGATGTATGGTGGTGGGCTGGGAGGGCAGAGTTGTGCCAGTACATAATCCCCAAGACAAATTAGCAAGTCTTGTTTCCTTTATGTCCATCTGCTACAGGAGTCCACTTGGCTCTTCTCTCCCTGGCTGTCCTGGGATCTGACTCTTCTGGCATCCATGGAGGAGAGGGGAGCTGATGAACGTGGATCTTGGTAAGTTGAGGCATTTGCTATCCTAGAGTCAGTGAGGTCATTACAGAGATTTTAAGAAAGGGAATGGTTATTTCTTCAAACACTCCATAGACCAAGGAGAGTAGAGTGAATCATGATGTTTAAGGTATTTACCTGCCTCTGAGTCCACCCAAATGTGTCTATGGGCAGAATTCAGCTTACCAAAGAAAGGTGCTTTGAACTCTTCAGACTATAAAGCTGCTGGAGGGGCCCAGAGGCTTTCTCTCCAGAGAAGTGTCTGAGCACACACTTGTTTCTTATCAGGAAATGCCAGGAAGTCATTTCCTGGGGGGTATTATAAGACATTTAAGGCCATTTGGTGTCTTCATGGTCAGGGGACCGGGGTTCTATCCAGGCTCTGTCCTAATTTCTGTGACTCCTTTAGTCAGTCACTACCATTTCCTGAAATTGGTCACCTCATCCTCTCTCAGAACAATGAAGGCCTTCAACAATAGTTATCAAATTTCCTTTAAACCAGAGAAGCACTTCCTCAAAGTGAATATAATACCTAAACTGATTATGTATGCGACTGGGCAGTTTTTAATTCCTTTGTTTGGCTTTCTGTGCTTTCCTTTTCTGTCTTTTCCAGTGAAGGAGCCAGATCCCTAGTATGCCTTAGGCATGGGGAATTTTTTTTAGTCCTGACCCAGAAGCCGTGTGACATCCATCACTCTTCCTTCATGAAAGTACCCAAGATTGTTAAGAGATTGTGTTGCATCATGCTTTGTGTACAACATGATGGGAAAGTCTATGCCTTCAAGAGGTCCACAAGAGTGGACTCTTCTGCATCACAAGAGTGCAGCCTTTTGTATACCTGGGACAGAGGCATTATCAGCCCAGAGCTGAAGCTTATGCTCTTCTCCCAGGCAGCGCTCTGCATTAGCGGCAAGGCATAGCATGGGTGGCTTCTGGGAGTACTGGCAAGGAGAGCTCAACTCAGGGAGATGCTCAGTCAGCCAAAGGTCACAAAGTCTATCAGTAACCTCCAAGCTGAGAACCTCCTAATGTTCAGAAGTCCAGGTAGTTTTGGAAACCATGGACATAGCAATAACTACAATGACCATTACTCCATTTTTCTAGATCATATGATTCTAGTTTGATTCTGCCCAAGAAGGGGCTTCATGACCATCAAGGATTATGTTTCTGAGCAGACAAATGGAATGAGTGTTTTTCCTATAATGTGAAGCTGTACAATGACATTCACACCTGTTACTTTTAGAATAAATGAAATAAGGCTGCCCTAGTTGGAGTCTTCTTCCCTATCTGCTGACTTAGGTAAAAAGGATGCTCCAGTGAACACAGTTTGTGTCTAAAAACAAAATGACTAAAGTCATTTCCAAATCCCATACCCTGCTGTTCTAGAGTCGCATGTAATAATATTCATACAAACTGTGATCAGTGATTAAAAACTAGATATGAATATCTCCTCCCATAGATTTCCCATGTAGATCTAAGTCCTGTGGACTAGTCTGGATGGAGAAGGAGTTAAATAATTCAGATACAAGTCACTTGGGCTCAGATGACAGAGTCTCTTCCTATGTTCACTGTTTATCCCTAATGCCTGACGCTTAGTAAATGCTCAATGAGTATTTGTTGATTTATGGGAAAATTTTGCTTTCCAGTTCTCCTGCAGAGAGGAGTCCTTTTGAATGCAAAAGGCTGAGGTCCTGCAAGTGGCCAACAGGGAGTCTTAGCCTAGAGCAGCGGTTCTCAACCTGTGGGTCGTGACCCCTTTTTAACAATGAAAATACATTGCGGCATTAGGGAGGTTGAGAACCACTGGCTTAGAGGCTGGCAGTGACCAACAGGGACAAGCTGAAAGGGGCTCACACTGCTGTGTGACCACGTGGCCAGGGGATCATGAGCATATAAGGACAGTGGGCTGGGTTTGAAGAGTTGAGCTGGCCTTGTCCAGGGAAAGATGAGGCCAAGGAATAAGAGGGAGATCTTGCCAGCCTTATACTCCCTGGGTCCTGCCTGGTCTGTCTGAGTCCCTCTTGGCTAGGGTACCAGCCAGGCAGGCATCCCAGTGGTGAGAGCTTGATAGAAACACGTGGGTCAGTGAGTATCTTAGGAGGGGAGATAAGAGGCAAGGGCCAGCTCAGACCTATGGTCTGTAGAGGGCAGGAGTTGGTAAACACTGTGAGTTCTCGACAGGGACAGAGAAGGGGCAGCTGGAAGGCTAAAGGCTGAGGGGCAGGGAGGAATGGGGGTGGCCCCTTATTTTTACAGACCCTGGACTGTGCCTGCTTCTCTGTCATACAACACAGAGTAAGGAGGTAAGAAGTTCACCCTGAGCCCAGGACCAGAATGGTCTGTTCTCTCCTAATGGCGCTCAGCTTCAGCCCAGGCATAAGGGCAGGGCCTGGAGAGACCAGTGTGAATAAGGTGGACCACAGCTTTGCCTGGGGGTTTGAGATGTGGTGAGGGGAAAGGGAAAAAGAGAAAGCGGGAAACAGCAGAAATGTGTCACTACCTGCCTAGCACAGAGTTGGTGCCTGTGAGTGAAGGTCGATGAATAAACAAGAAACAGACCTTCCTGCTCAGCTAGGACACATTTATTCAGTTACTGGCATCTCCTCCAGTGTAAATCTGGACTGAGATCCAGAGAACTTAGTCATTCGCAGAGGGGGCTTAGTCTGCTTCCTGCAGTTGGAAGCTTCTCATGGTTTCGTGTATCCAAGGTAGGAAACTTGCGACTCTGGTGAAGACTTGTGGAGGTTTCCCATTCCTCTTTCCATGGGACACAATGCCCTGGGCCACATCGTCACACACCAGAGGGCCGCCCGAGTCTCCCTGTGAATAGAGGGGGAGGACTGACCTGGTGCCGTCCTGGTCTTGCCCTCCCTGTCTGTCATCTCAGGCCCTCTCTCAGAGATGGTGAATTTGCATGGCCCATCTAGGGGTGGGGCAGGGCAGGCCCCTGGGGGTCCTCAGCTGACCCTGGACATTGCCACTGCTTCCCCTCACCCCAGGGGCCAGCTGTGGTCCTCTCCCCCATGTCCTGGGGTTCTCTCCTTATAAAGGTGTGTGGGACCATTGGCTCCAGGTCACTGTTTAAGGACATAGAGGCAGGCGAGTGGGGCCAGCCTGTAGGAGGATGAGCCCTTTCACCACACTGGGTGCCAGCTCCAAGGAACCACCTGCGTATAATTACTGCTCTCCCCCCCGCCCAGGAAGCACAGTTTGTTAATACCAGTGATGTGGGCAGAGGAGTGGGGGGAGGAGGGGGCTGGAGTGTTGCAAACAAATCCTTCCATTCACCAGAGATCCCGCGCTGAGTGTGTAGAGGCCCCAGTTAGCTTGGGCTGCTCCCCTCTTCTCTTTCCAAGAGAAAGATGGCAGCCTAGTGGGTGAAGGAGTTCCCCACTGTTGGGTCTCCAGATTCCTGATATTTCCCAAACTTACCTCTCCCGAGAACCAAGCTGGCATAGTCTTACCTTAAAAGAAGACTTTATTAGCTTTGGGTCCCCCACACAAATCTGGGTGTTCCTGGTGTACATGTGGAAGAGGGATTCACACTTGTCATCCCTCTGCACTGTTAGCATCACCTCCTGCAGCACATCTGAGGGTGGGCCATCTATAGCAATCCAGCCCCAGCCGGCCACATCGCACACCAACCCCGGTGTGACCCTGCTTGTGACCCTGGGCAGCTTGAGGGTCTGCACTTTTGGAGTCTGGTTGGCCTTTCTCTCTAGCTGGTGGAGAAGGGACAAGAAAGTCCAGGTCAGACAGTGGCCTCCTGGGCTCAGGCACTATACTGGGGCTGACCCTTTACCTCTCCTTTGAGGCCCAGGAACTAGTCAAGTGGCTGGGATGGACAGGAGGGAAGAAGGGACAACATCACAGTGGGAGGGCCAACAGGGCCAAGTAGAGAGAGAGCAGCAGGAATTTGCCTCACCTCCAGCAGCATGATGTCATTGGCCAAGGTGTTAGGATCAAAGTCTGGGTGCGGAATGGCTCTTCTCACACGGATGACCTGCTGGGTCTCCTCCCTCCTGCGGATGTTGTGTGCTCCCAGGGTAACGTTCATGGAGCTGCACAGAGAGCACAGAGGGGCTGAGGGCATGTGAAGTCACAGGGTACAGCCCAAGAGTTGTGAGGACCAGGTGACAGCCAG